CAAGTGCAGCCCCCGCCAGGCGTTTTCTCTGGTCTGCGGTTAGTAAATAGCCACAAGACTCTATCATCGCACGAAGCAGCATGGTGCGCGCGGGGTCTCGTGCCAATTGAATTACGTCAATTACCGTCCCGTTTGGCATCATCGTGGTCGCCGCCCAAAGACTTTCTTGGCTTTCTGGGAGTGTCTTGAATGCAGCGACCGCTATAGCAACGGCTGTCTTGTGTGAAACAATGCGTTCAATCAGGCCGGTGACAGAGCGTAAACTTTCCCACATTTCCTTCCTTTGCGCAATATCGCCGTACCCAAACACTGTCACGTAGGCGTGATAGTGGCGCGGAAAATCGTGTTTGGCCTCGTCCTTTTTCAATTTGGCGTACCCAAAATCGGGCAGGGGGAATTCATCCTCCTCCGCTTGGGCCGCGGCAGTGGCAGCAGATGTCTCCTTCCTCGAATTCAAATATTCAGCTGCGTACTCGCAAAGGTGGGCGCAAATAGCATCCTTCACAGAGACAGAAACCAGTGGATGCCTTAAAAGCGCAGATACCGTCATATTGTCGTCAAGGGGTTGAAACAGAAGAGCAATTTTGCCCTCCTCTACGTCCCGTTCCTCATCCGTGCCAAAGAGTGCCCTCGAAACAGCCCGCCATCCTTCTTCGGTAGATTCCATGTACTTCACAACCACACGTTGCCCATATGGATGTACTGCTAGAAAGGAAATATGCGGCACGAAACGCTCCTCCAGCACCTCACGAGAACTGGGGTGCTCCATAATTTTTTGTGCCACGTGGTTACCGAATGGATGTTCACAGAGACGGCGAAACTCATCCGCTTCGGCGTTGAGAACAAATACCTCTGCAATCTCCCGTCTTTGCTGAATAGGAAGTTTCTCCAGCATCTCCTGAACAATAGTATTACCAACCGGGGAGAAGGAGAGATCTCTGATCTTGCGACGTAAATGGTAGAGCATCTGCACCCGTATCAGCCCGTCACACTTCGCAAGAATTGAGAGCAACAAATGGTGTGATGCCTTGCTCAAACAAAGTGCATACGCGTTCGGTAAGATCTTTTGCACCACTTTAGCCCGCTGCTCCGGCCTACCGTACAGCAGAACAGCCTCCACCTGCTTCAATGGCATCGACTTTCCAGTCGCAGCCCGTTGCGAAGGGTTTTTCAAAAAGTCCAGTCGCATACCAGGCATGATTTATTGCTGCTGCTTCCCTTCACACACACACACACAGAGAGAGAGAGAGAGGGGGCAAGAGAAAACTTTTCCTTTTCTCTTTTTCTTGTTTCTTCTTTGCTCGTTAAGATGTGTTTCACCGCTTTCTCTCTACCTTTTGTTTCTTTTGCTCTCAATTAAATGTTTTCCCTCGTTATTACCCGTAATGTTGCTGTGCCTTTCGCCAAAAAGAAAATCAAAAACAAAAAGCAAAATAAAAGGATATTAGTAGTAACCGATGCGTCCTTAAAGCATGTACGCATATGTACATGTGCGTACACACGCGTGGTACAGTTACAAATTCCGCATAAAAAAATGGTACAAAAAACAAAAAAAAAAAAAGGACAAGAAACAAAATAAATAAACACATTGCGCGCCTTCCTTCAGCCACACGCACACACACACACGCACACACACACACACACATATATATATATATATATATATATATATATATATAGGCACAGACATTGAGTTGTACATATTTACATCGTTTCCATTACAAAGCCATCATAAAGAAGAAAAAAAAAATTCTCGGAGCCAAAATAATTTAAAAAAAAAAGGTTTTGCAGAAAACACAAACAACAAAATAATGTGTGATGTCAGTGTGCTGCTGATGCATCGGCGGCAAAAAAAAAAAAAAAATTAAACTAATAAACTTCATATATTTGTCCCAATATTGTTTCTTTCTCTCTTAAAAGTCAATTGGCATACGGACACCTACATAATAGACCTCGCCACGGCTTGTGTTGCTAATAATGCTCGCCTCCTCTGCCGCTTTTTGATATAATTTCCACGCTGCGGCCATCTGATCCATCAAAAGTCCCAACCGGGCCTCCGTTTCAAGACTCACCAATCGGTGCAGCTGTGCAACGTTCTCTTCAGCGTCATTTGCCACACCCGGGCATTTGGCCTTGTGGCCGGAGGTGTAAGACCACCAAAGGCCTTGCAAAAGATACACCGGACAAAACGGCACGCAATTGGCAGAGGCAAAAATTTCGGCTGCAATACCTGCACTGCGCCCCTCACAGGCTGCGAGCATACATTGCGCTTCTGCAAGAGCTGAAAGAAAAGGAGTTCGAAGCCCTGCATAGGAGTCACGTTCAAGTGCACTAAGAAACACGACACCTAACATTGGATACAGTGGCGGCCCTTCGGAATCAATATCCCACAAGCCGTTTTCCTCATCACGTGCCACGGCGTCTGTGCACGGCCCCAAATCCTGGGGTTGGCAAATGCCCGCACCAAATGCAGGGTCATGCCGCTGCCGCACTTCAGTTTCATTCTCGGCAAAGTTGTTGTCTTCTTCATTCCCCTGTTCCATCCACTGACTTTCTCGGTCCTTTAGTTCTTCTAACATAATCTGCTCACAGTCGATAGCAGCCTCATTTTCCAGCCTCGCTAGTATAGCCTCACGCCTCTGCATTTCTTTTAGCTGCTCTTCCATCATTATCAATTCTTCCCTATCTCGTTCTTGCGCCAGTTTTTTTGCCTTATAGTACTCATTCACAAAACGTGCCATAATGGAAAGCCATTCGCCCGCCTCTTGCGCAAAAATTTCCACACGGGCAGCCGTCTCCGGCTCCTCAATATCCTCCGTTGAGGAGATGCCCTTTTCTTGACTGTATTTTATCATTTTGATGTACGACCATGCCCTCCTACCCTCCTCCAGGTAGGAGGCTTCGGGAAAAGCATCCGGCCACGAGTCCAGTTCAGAGTGAACGTTCGGCTGATTTTTGGAGAAACGGTTTGCCTGTCGGCGTCCGTCACGAGCCTTTGTATTTCGTCCCGCGGGTTTCTTTGGGTTTATTCGACCCCGTTCACCGCCCAAGAACATGGGAAGACGCATTCCAAACGGACGCTTCTTTTTGAACCAATCCAATATTTCCTCTAACTCCTTGGCTTCCTCGCCAACAATGCTCTTCCGGACCTCCTCGTACGATGGCATCAAATTCGAAATTCTTTTCCGCATGTCATCCTCCATACGTTGTCGAATAAGACGGGCGACTGTATCTTTTTCAATCATGTAACACATGCGCTGTCTGCCTTCTTCGCGCTCATAAATACCTCGGACATCTTCTTCTGCAGATTGAATATCTACCTGAAGAAGGATACTGACGCCCCGAAGAAAACCCACCCACAAGCGAGTCGATTCAAGTTGCTCAGAGAAAATAATGGTTTCCCTCTCCTCGGTTTCTTCCTTAAATAGGCGAAGCTGCGCAGCCCTTTCTTCCACAAACCTCATCTCGTGCGATGGCTCTGCCGCAGCCGCTTCTGGCTGATTCATCAACTCACTTTTTTCCATGCTTCTTGACATGGAGACTGTCCCAACCAAACCGCTAACGACAGAAGGGTACACACGCTTTTGCACGACAGGGAGGTATGGGCTTGGTGGCTCCAGCGGCTCCCAATTGATGAGGGCCGGCTGATCCCACGAGGGCAGCCTCAACATGGGGCATTTAAATTCTTCCTGCGCACCACAGTTCTGCCCTTCGCGTAAATTAAGAAGTGAACGCCGCATAAAAAAGAAAAAAAAAAAAAGAAATTCAAAGCCTCTTTGCGACCCCTTGGGAAACAACTTTTTAAGGCGCAGACGCACAGACTAATTAAAAGAAAAAAAGAAAAAAAAAGGGAATTTATAATAAATTTAAAAAAAAGTCAGTTTAAGAAAAGAAAGAAGAAAAAGAGGCTGTAAACCAAAGTCAACAATACACTCAGCCAATTTCATTTTGTCCTCCAAATTAAATCTACCAGAACGTGCAAAAAGAGAAGAAAAAAGGAAGGGAAGATCAATCAGAGAAACATTCCAATGTAAAGTCTTTTTCTCTCTCACTTTCCCCTCCTCACCTCTGAGCACCAAACAAACACAAACACACCGAAGGGCACAAGAAATATGTATACTCGCGTGTATGCCTTTTTTCACCGATGTTTGTTTTTTCCCCCAATTCGGGATCACCGCAAAATGAGAAAAGAAAAAAAAAGGAAGACAACAACTATCGCAGTGGCACACCTCTCATCGCCGGTACGTTACGGGCACACCGTTTCTACCCAGTGCAGTTCGCCGAGACCAAAGGGATTGCATAGAACCGTTTGCCATCATGGTTGGCTCTGACTGGCCCCAGAAATTGGGATCATCCCCAATATTTGTAGACCCATCAGGGCGGTGGCGAGCACGAACCCGCAATTCCGATGGCTTCTTTGCATGAAACGCAAGAATTGCCTCGATTTCCTCATCCGGTGGAGCAGCCGGCTCTGGAAGTCCACGAGACTCGTAAAACTCCTGCACCTGAATGTCCCACTTCGTTTGAAAAAATGTGACAGCACATGGGTCAGGTGGAAGCACCGCATCGACCTCACGAAGCGTTGTGTTAGCCGTCACTGAAAACCCTTCACGGTGAGGTGCATGGATGCGGAAATCACTACGGGCAATGAAACTTTCCTCCGTTTCGTCCATGACGGTGGTCAAACTACTCGCGTAATCAGACTGCTTAAAAAGCATACACAAGTGACGAGTTGTCCCCGCGTCTTCCGTTGGCAATGGAGGAACATACGGCATCACAACATCGCCTTTTTTGTCGGCACCCCGTGTATCCACTACGACACCCTTTGCTACGGGTGCATGTGGGCCATTGCCACCTCCTGGAAGGTTGGCAACCATGTAATTAAGGAAGAAACCTTTTTCCTTCCGTCCATCGGATTCAGGGGGAACGCGATAAGGGAAATCAGGAGAGGCTATAATAAGCATGTAAAATTCAGCCCCACTGGCTGACTCCTTTCTCTCACCTTCCTCTTCCTCAAAGAAAAAAATAGATGGCGGATGTTGTAATTCTGTCAGCTCAATGTAATTTCCACAGTGGGCGGTCATCCAGAAGTTGCGAGGCGTCAATTCACTAACGGGCGGTGGCGGTGGCAGCGACTCCCCTGTTTCTTCGCATTTGCGGGCCCGTGTGGCGTACGTCCCTGGAAAAACAACAGAGAGGTTCACGTCCTGGTGCACATGCGGTAGATAGCGCGGCAGGACCTCGTGTTTGCGAAGGTACTTCAGAGAGCGTTGACGGTGATTTTTCCACGCCAACAGATCCGCGCGTGGCACAAGCAGCCGGTGGTCCTCATCCGGAAGCGGCGGGTATGACGTCCGCTCAAAATCGGATGCATTCCAGTAAATAAAGAAGTCGGGTGGGGGTACAATGTTGAAGAGGTGCGGGGTGTCAAGCTCGTTCTCGTACACGGGGTATTGAAACATGGTGTCACTGAGAACCGTCTTCTCGTAGGGGTACTGAAAGTCATGCAACGCCTGCGGCCGCGGGAGTTTTTCAATCTGCCGTGCCTTTCGGTCTGCCTCCCGCTGCTCCCGCGTCCGCGCATCCCTCGTGCTTACTTTTGTCTTCCACCCCGGCATGTGGTAGCCGCGGCAAAAACACAACGTTGCCGTCAATGCTTCGCCGCGTCTCAAGTACACGGCACCGCCACCAACAATGCGGCGCATCCTTTCGACTGCTCTATTTAGTTTCAGCACACGGAAAGAAGTATACACAAACAGACAAATAAAAAACAACAAGAACAACAAGAAGAAAAGACAAAATAATAATAATAATAATAATAATAATAATAATAATAATACATCAGAACAGCAATGACTACAACAACGCCTTTGAGTACGGTTGTGTGCGTAAAATAAACGACTACAGAAAAAAAAAAAATTCTAAAGGAAAGAAAAGTAATTAGGGTAACGTAAAAGTAAAACCCAAAATCCTTACTGCGGTTCCTGAAGTGGTTCCGCTTCTTTATACATCTTCATATAATGTTCCTTGTATGATTTCCCTCTCCATTGTCGATGCGGTGGAGAATTCGCCAGTACACCCTCTCGATCACAGTCCGCGTTCACACCCCACGACTCGTCAGAATTCATTCGGCAGAGTTCAAAGGTGAGACGCTTCGTCAGTCGTCTCGAGGAGTGACCATCTCGGTACTTCCGCAAAGACTCCATGTGTGCCTCCGATTGCACCTCCGAGTACATCCGTGCCTCCAACGCCATAATAGAGTCCTCGTCATTGGAATACAAAAGTTCAAGTGCGTCGTTCTCAAATCGCTTTAGCCGTACGTAGTCCTCCAATATGTTCTTTTCAATGAAATGATTGCCTTTTAGCCACGCATCCCGCATGATGAAGTGTTCCATCTTCTCCTGAAAAATTCTGTACGCCTCATCATCGGAGTCGCCGTAGTATTCCCTTATGGACGCGTCATGTTCCAAGCAACTCGATTTTGTGTTGGGGTTAAGTGTGTCCTCCCAATTGATACCCAACATCGCCACAAACTCATGCAAGGAAACATCATGCGGCACATTCCCATGACGGCGATAAGTGGCCTGTCGCAACTCCACCTCATGGACAGGAATGGGAACAATCTCCTCTGACGTGGCGAAGTCAAAGGAGCGGTCCAACGACAAAGCATTGCCGGCATCCGCGCAGTGGCACCTATTCACTAAACTAAATTTCGACGGCTCTTCCATGAAATGCCAACACACACTTCATTTGTCAGTGAGTGTGTGCGTATGTGTGTGTGTGTTTTCAAAAGAATATCAGCAGACAAATCCCAGCGACGCAAAGAAAACAGAAAAAAAAAGAAAAAACGACCGTTTTCGGCAGGATCCACAAAAAAAAAAAATTGTAAATGATACGGTGGTGACACTGGCAACCTTCCGCTGCTATTTCTCGCCTTAATTTCGCCTTATTCGCCAGTCGTCTGCCTTCAGGAGAGAAAGCCTCCTTCTTTAATCGGTGTTTTTGTTTGGATGCGTCGCATGAGGGATCAACACGCAAATACACAACAAGAAAGAGGCAACACAAAATAATCCACAGATACGCAGCCCCAGAAAAAATAAGCATCAACAAAAATATTCTCCCAACTGTCATCTAGAGAAGCACAGAAAAAGGGCAAAAGCACCATCAAAACAGCTCGTCCAGTAGCTCGTCTCTCTCTTTCCCATGTGTCCGGAGAAAGGCCAGCAGATCGCCTCGCCTCCTCGCAAGCCCTGCCATAGAGAAGTACTCAGCAGCGACATCCTCCATCGCAGTCTTCTCTGATCCAAACACAGGCGAGGACGAGACGTAGACAACAGGGAGAAACCAATCGACACCGTGACCCTTCGCCATAAGATCCCTTGAAAGCAAATGTGGCGGTGTCACTAGCGGAGCCTTCAGTACGCATCCAGGCTTCGGCCAATACTGCTGCACATCCCAGTACCCTTTCAAGCGCTCCTCAAGGGAAACGACACGCATTCCGTACAAAGTCAACTGCTGAAGGATGGCACTCATCTCTGCGCTGCCGCCACAGAGTAAAGTCTCCAGTGAGCGTCTAGAGTCCGGCGACAGGTTGTAGTGTTTCTCATGTTTGGCAATGGTTAAAAGCGACGTGACTACGCGGCGTCTAATAATTTCGTCGTATGGATTAAGAGCATCATGTTCCTGGAACAGACGCATCATACTGGGAATAAGTTGCCCAGCAACAAAAGATTCATCTTGTAGCTCCTTTTCAATGTGATCATATATGATCGGGTTTCCACTCCAAAAGGCGCACTTCTGCAAAAAGTAAGATACTTCATCCAAAAAAAGGTAGGCAATTCGGCGTTGCTCGACCATGACACAGTCATTGAGGGTGATCACAATGTGGGGAATGTTCGGAGGAGAAATAAGTGGACGACCGCCACTTTCCAAGACAGCCACGTGAATAATCGGCAAAAGCGTCGCATCATTTGGAAGCGCCTCATCTGGTGTGGCAAATATGTTTAATGCCGCCACCTTCCCTGAAGTACTTGACTCATCATCGTGCATAAACCAATCGTAGCTTTCCTTTGGTCCATACAGAAAAAGCTTCACGGGAACACACCCTGGTAACTCATCCACACTGAATAATTCCCGGTCAATGGATTCAAAGTATGCCAGTTGGCTCTGTGGCAAATTTGCCAACGGAGGAGGAGTCACCGTGTGCTCCGAAACGCACAGGGACAACGCAGTTTGTTCCACAAATTCCCCCGAGTCATCAAGGTGCCACCATGTCACTGCGCCACGCTGCGACAGGCGCATTGCATTGTCACAAGTAGCACCATCCTCCAAAAACAGGGGCCAGATCAATTTTTCTCCCAGCACTGGAATCGGTGGGCAGATGGAAGTATCTTGGCGATGAAAAAGTTGCAAGTTTAGAATGTTCGGCGCCGAGACATCATCCAAAACCTCCTCCAATTCATTGTCATCCACATGAACTTCGGGTTCTTTCCTTCTCTGCGGTGATGTCGCATCCCTGTGATCAAATATTTCACCAAAGGAGGAAACAAGCTGGTGGTACTCGGGTGACTCCATACGAGTGCCAGGACCGGCCCAGCCCGCCTTGAACGCTATTTTTGGCTTGGGAAATGTGTTCCAGCGCGGATCCCTCACAAACTTCATGCCATCTCTGCCAACAGCGCTGTGAACGGGAGCGCTACGCCACCGACCAAGAAGACAAGGAATATTCTTGTCGAGAAACCGTAGAATTTCTTCTTCTGCCGCGTCTTGCGACTTCGCCTCCTGAATTTTTGGAACAATAACACAGCGCCACTTCTGTGACACTCCCGACAGCGGGCAGAGAGAGGGCAGGGGCACACGTGAGAGCACATCGCGCAAGGGATAAATGCGAAGGCCATGGTAATAATCACCGCTGCCATTCACCGCCATAAATGTTAATTGTCTACACAAAGCCGAAAATAAAAAAAGAAAGGGGTAAATTCTACCTTTTAATAAATTCAGAAGAGGCAAAAGAAAAAACAAATCAAAAACGAGAAAAACGGAAGGGGAAATCCTAAAGATGGGTAAACAAACACATACAAAAACAGTAGGGTAAACCCCGAGGTTCCGGTTTATCACCATCCATAATGAAACGAATGAGATTACCACAATTGTTTTTGCAGCCCAAAAGAAGGGCCGGAAATTTAGTACAATGAGCGTGTTAACACCTTCGGTTGCCCACGCACCACCACCCTTTTTTGAGTGGATGGCACAGCTCGCACTGGGTGGTGCCGCAGCGGGCTCTTCGTCGTCGCTGTTGAAATCTGCCCCACCGCCTTTCCACCTGGATGCGAGACAGCCTCCCACCCTTCCGTTTCTTCTTTTTGTCGTGCCGCTCGTTCAGCATCCCGCTCCGCCTTGCGACGCCTGGCGTACGACTCCATAATGGCCGTCATATGTTGGTCCTCTTCCCTCATGCATTTCCGCGCGGTGAATCGAGCGACACGCTTCTTTTCTCGCTGGGCTCGATTCGTCCTACTAATCCTCTCGCGGCGCTCCTTGCGGCGCTGGGAACGGGTCTTCATTGGATCCCCGCGCCTCGCAAGGCGATTACCCCGCATGATTGCAGCAACTAAATTATTGTTGGAAGTGTTGTGTGAATGGATGGATGTGTCCGCGTCTCCTTCGGGAGAAACCCCGGGGCGAAGCGCGGCTCACAGCGTGTTCCCTCTCCGGTAATACCCAAAAAGGCAGTCACACGCGCAGCAATCAGCCACGTGGAAAAGAAACAAAAGCTAAAAAGCAAAAGCCCAACATAAAAAAGAATTAATAACAACAATGATAATAATCAAAACTCCAAAGGCCGTAATTCACTTGAATATCAACGGAGGCAGTACGAGATATTATTTTTGGTGTGAGGGTGATAAGAACCTTCAAATAACAGGAAATAATAATAATAATAATAATGTGAAGGACACAAAACACACATGTATTTGCCGCTCCATCACAAATTCCTCGAGGCACGGCCGGGGCTCACGGATACGCGTCAACCGCAACGGATTAAAACCACCGACGTCACGTGACATCTTCGTTCCAGAGAACACACCGAAAAGAAACAACGAATAGTCAAAAAAAAAAAAAAAACGCCTTCCCACCTTTCCTCCCATGTTCCTCCACGCCTCTCTATTTTTTGCCCCTTCGCTTTTTAGGGTTGGTTTTGTTGGCTACTTTCTCCCTCCGGCCAACAAAATATCCGGCCTCATATCCCGCGCGATAGTACGCAGATGCCACACGTTGAATCTCAGCCGGCAAACCCCTCATTCCGTCCTGCTGCAGTGGTGAAGAGTCTAAACCGAATGCGCCTGTGTCAGCAACAGGGGGAACTACCTTCTTTGCAGTGTTGGGCAGAGGTGTTGACGAAGAGGACGTCTCCGTCATATCCTCCCCTGAGAGAGAGGCGATCATGCTATCGTCATCCGATGAAAGAGGGCGGAGTTCATCAAGCTGCGGTGCGGCATCCTCCTCCTTCTTCTTCTCCAATTGCATGTTCCACAGTCGGATGAGCTCAGCGTCATCCCATAGGCTTTCATCGTCCTTTCCACGCTGATAAACCGCCGTCGATCCCTGCGAGTTCCCGGCACGCTTTGCGGCGCTCCGATCCATATGAAGTGTTGAAACAAAAACGTCCTCCTTTATTGTTCCGGTATTTTACCTGCTCTCTTAGACCAACTACTTGCCTCCCCAGGCCCCTCAAACGCGATAAAAAAAAAAAAATGCTGCGTAGCATAAAGAAAGAAAAAAAGAAAGAAAGTTACAATTAAATGTTGTAGTCGCTACCCTCTTGTTGTTCGGCATCTCACACGGTGTCGTCTCCCCCTCTCAAAGTCTGAAGACAAGAACCTGCAGCCTCACACTCACCCTCCCACACACACTTCGGAAGTAAAACATATTCTCCCTCAAATTCAAACAACGTCCCACCGGAGACACCCACGCACCCAAACTGGCGTTGGAGTTGCTTCCGTTGGCGCAGCATGTTTTCTCAACGAAACCCCCCTGTATCCCAGACCCTCTTCTCGAACCGAAACCTCAATTTGTGTTCATCAAAAAACACCACGCAATAAAACGAAGCATTTGCGCACTGGGATAGGAGCCAACACGGCCGTGGCGTGCCCTCTGATTGGCTGTGGGCCTTTCTGTCAAGAAGGGTGTTGCAAATGCACCCATTCTTTTCCCCCTCATTCTCCACTGCCTGCACCTCCGCAAAAGAAAAACCCTCCCCGCACAATAAGGGGCACGAGTGCAGCCAAAGCCACCCACCCACCCACAATGTGGCAGCCCAAAATGACGTTAATAACGTATTTCCATAACAAATTAGCGGGGGGAATGACGGAACCAAAAAAAAAAAAGAAAGAAAAACGTTTACTATTCACACGGCAACCCATTCGCCATTCGGTGACATCACCGTTGAATCCTAATGTTACCAGGTAGAAAAAAAAAAACACAGGAGAAAACAAAAAAGAATTTTTTAAGGCATCTACACACATCAAAAAAAAAAAAAAAAAAGAGGGGGAAAAAAAAGCCAAAAAACCGCCTCATACCACACGTTCACGGGAATGATCGGCTGCATTCGTAACAGCAGTAAATGTTTAAAAAAACAAATGAACAACAACAACAAAAAAGCAAGTCAAAAAACGCACATTAATTACACCTGCGTCGATACGTGAGGATCCTCAACTTCCGCCAGCACATTTTCCAAAGACAACATCGGTGGAGGCCACGTCATTATCATGCATCTTAAATATCTTTTTATTTTTCCTTTTCCTTTTTTACTTTCCCCCCTTCATTATCTCACCCCTGTCTCCGAGAATCGACAAGAGGAAAACAGCAAACTGCTCAGAAACCTCCAGAAAAGTGAGACAAAAGACACAGCACACACCCATTTACAAATCAACGGGGTTCTCTCAAGCAGCACCGGTACAACAACGCAGGAACACAACCAAAGCAATATAAACAGAATTAGAAAAAAAAAAAAAAACAAGAAGGGGTAAAGCAAATATAGATAGATAGATATATAAGCGTTTCCTAGTTCAACAAAACGGGCGAGGCAATGCGTGTCGCACGCAAAACACAAAAAGCAACAACAACAACAAAAAAAAAGAAGGTAACAGAAGTTTTCCGCAATATATCCAAAACATGATCACAGATACACAAGCAAAAGTAAAAAATGAATTAGGAATGCACAGATGCAAGCGAACAATGAAAAATTTAATACTGTCAGAAAAAAGAAACGTAAAAACACACAATTTAAGGGAAAAAAAAGGTTGTCTAATCCATTTTCAACGCTACAATCATCGTGGACAGCCACTGATCACGTTCCTGCTCGGTCCGGGTTGCAAATACAATAGAATGTGCATTTTGTGTAGATATGGCAAAGGCAAACTTTACGTGAAACGGACCAGATTCCCCGCTCGATTCAGCTAAGACTGGAACATCCAAAACAACTGGTGCGACGGCTCTAATTGCTTGGAGCGGGACTTTCTTACTGCGTTCGCCAGAGCCCGCCGCCATTTTCCCCTTCGCAAGTGTCATTGTTAAAAACCCATCGGCGAGAATGAGGTAACGTTCTTTCCATTGACTACCAGCTGTCTCCTTGTAAACTATGCTTTCAATACGAGGCGTGGTGCTTGTTGCCATCTCCCGTTCCGTCTCAAAGTTGATCACCGCCTCGCCCTCCGCTATTCCGCTCATAACCAGTGCCCGGACCTCCAGGGAAATATTATATTCGGGCAATGAACCCGCAAACCCCGCGGGATTTGCCTTGTAATTACTCTCCATTTCGTCATCCAATGCAATCATACGATCCACACGTTTCTTAAGTAAACACAGATAATGCTGCATCAATGGTGTTTTGAGAAGTTGGGAAGCGCTTGGCCGTTTCTCAGGGTCCTGCTGCAAAATGAACTCCAGGAACTCCCTCATCTCTCTGGATATGTAGCCCATCTTTTTCTGGGCTTGACGCTCCTCCTCTGAGACGCCGGCGTTTTCAGGAAGTACAGGGGGAAGCCACATGGCACCAGAGAGAACAAGTTCCTTCATTTTGGGAATGGAGTCCGCTTCGAAAGGCCGCCGTTTCCCCAAAAGTTCACACAGAACTATTCCAGCCGCCCAGATATCTGCTTTTTTGCCATAACGCTGCTCGCGCCACATCTCTGGGGCGAGATAGTAGCTTGTGCCAAGAAATGTGCAGGCTATTGGGTTCGAGACGGTGCTGTCGTACTGCTGTGAAAAGCCAAAATCACCAAGCTTCAAAAAACCACGCGTGGTCAAGAAAATATTCGCCGTCTTTACATCACGATGGATCATACGACGACGATGAACGTGGTCAAGACCAAGTAACAACTGCACAAAATAAATTCCGGCTTCTGTCTCTGAAAGACAAAACTCCGAAGACTCATTGTGGAGGGTGCGGTAGAGATCCCCCCCATCCGCAAACTCTGTTATAATTATAATTGTCTCATCCTCATCATCGATAAAAAAGTGCTCATAGTACTGTATGATTGCAAAATGATGATTACAGGCAAGACACATAATTTCAGTTTGAGCGTATCGTCTGTCATTTGGTGACATTGAAGTCAAATCCATCACTTTAGCTACAAATAAACGGGTTGCATCATCACCAGCTCTTTTTTTTATTTCGGAATCGCCTTTCCCTCCCGCTGCTTTTTTGGGGGATGGAATTGGATACAGTGGGTTGCGCTCAACAATATAAGCCTCACCAAATGCCCCTTTACCAATTGCTTTATTCTTTCGGTACCGCGCCTTTACGCTGTCGGCAGGTCCCAAGACTTCATCTAAAGAAACAGGTTCGGAACGATATGAACCTTTGACTTTTTCCTCACCTTCTCCAATAGGAATAGGGCGCATGTCATCACTTCCGTCCATCTTTTGTTCCCTGGCGCATTTTGGCAACGTTATTACTGATGTTACCGCGTCATCATTAATGTCATCCTCATTTAGACTGCCCATCGGCACGTCGCCATGCATATCCGTCCGCAGCTTTACGGCACCGTTGCCCATCAATCCAAGATGTCAATGGCAGTTCAACCAAAAAAAAGGAAAAAAAAAAAAAAACACAGTAAAGAAAAAAGCCCCAAGTTGAAATGTGTATGTTTGTTTATGTGTACAAATACCCAATGAAGGCCGTGGAATGACAAGTTGTCAGACTTGCGTACTCTCCTTCCCAAAACACTCTATACGAGTCGTATCAATATTTTGGTTTAATCCTACTGGACCCTCCTATCCACGTCCCCTTTCCTTTCTACGTTTCCCTTCCCCCTCCCCCTCCCCCCCTTCTCTGCCTATGTGTCACCTCCTTTTTTCTTTTTTCTTTTTTGTGTGTGTTTGTTTGTATTTCTCCGTCCCCCCTTTTTTCCCTCTTGCAAACCGTTCTTCTTCTCCCCCCAATTCTGCTGAACTCAGCCGCTTTTTGGTTAAAATGAGGCCGGTTTTATTAATTTTCCGCTTTCCCCTCTCGCCCAATTTTTTTGTGTTTCTTTTTTCTTTTTTCCGCCGCCTTCGACAAACCCCAAATAAAAAAATAAAAAATAAAAAAACCGCAGACGGGGAGAGAAAAAAGGGTAAACAGACGTGCTCGGTCTACTTGAAAGAAATATTTGTTTTATCCCTTTGTGTAAGTGCTAAAAACTGCCAAAAATACTTCTTTATGCTCTGGCACAACACGCCTCCCCACCCAAAATTGGTCCGCAAAGCAAATTCCTCAATGTACGCCCAGTGCAGCGTTAAAAGAAAAAGAAAAAGTAAAAGAGACAAATAAAAAAAAAATAAAATTTTTTTTAAATACATGCACATAAGTATCCATATATACATACATACAACCAGGCAATACCACGCCCAGGCACAAGCGAGAGAGAGAGAGAGAAAAGAGAAGTAAAGAGAAGCAAAGAATCCTTTAGTGCCACTGCACGTGTCGTTTTACACCATGAATTCTTGCTTTCTCCCGTATCTTTTTTTCTTTTTTCCTCTTCAAAGGGAAAAATACTTTCAAAGGAGTTTACATGCAGCCAATTAACAGCAACAACAACAACAACAAAAAAAAAACATCCAGGTAGTGCTAACGCCAAAAACATTGAAAAAAGTGGTGCAGGAATAAAAAATAATAAAAAATCCCTATCACTCGTCCCTCATCTCTTCGTTTTGTCATTCATTTCTGTTAGTCAACAGCAAAAACAAGAAATTAAGATAAACAGTGGCCGCAAAGGAAAAAAAAACCGTCCTCATTCCACCAAAGCCCTTACAACACATGATGCATTCGTGCGTGAAGAGAGAAAAATTAGAGGTATGGTTGTGGAGATGCAACTACAAATAACTCCGCAAATGCACGTACCCAGTCTCACTAAGACGCTGTTCCACGTTCTTCCAGTTGACAACGTTCCAAAAGGTCTGCACATATGCCGCACGGTCGTTCTTGTAGTCCACGTAGTACGCATGCTCCCATACATCGCATGTAAGGAGAGGCCTCAAGTTGGGCTCTGTCAGTGGACATCCCGCGTCATGCGTCTGGTAGACTTTCAGTTTGCCGGTATTGGTGTCCTTCACAAGCCACGCCCAACCCGAGCCGAAGTGGCCCACAGCCACGTTTGTAAACTCCTCCTTGAACTTCGCAAAACTGCCAAATGAAGCGTTGATCTCGTCGGCAACTTTTCCCGTCGGCTCGCCACCCCCATTAGGACACATGCTCTCCCAGTAGAACGTGTGGTTAAAAATCTGCGCCGCAAGGTTGAAGATGGGGCCTTTCTCCGTCCTGATGATCTCCTCGATGCTCTTCGTTGCAAGCGCGGAGTTTGTCTGCGCCGCGGCGTTGAGTTTCGTCACATACCCCTGATGGTGCTTGTCGTAGTGGAGCGTCACCTGCTGCTTTGAGAGGCCTTTTGCCGCAAGCCCATCGTAGCCCCATGGGAGCGGAGGAATGCTGAAGACCATAGACGCTGATGCACTTTTAGACTTCTCGTAGACACCGCAAGAAGACAGCCCCCTCTCCCCCTTTTTTTTTCCTAAGGGCCCAGCAAAAAAAAAAAGAAAGAATCCACCCCTCAGAGCCTTTTAATGAAAGGAAGAAAGGAGAGAGAAAAAAAAGAAAAAAACCGTTCTTCATGTATTCAAGATTCCAAACATCTTCGTTTTTGTTGCAGTTGTTCTTCCCTCATTCGTAGTACACGTTTTTTTGTGCGAAAGCCCTTCCCCTCAAAAAAAAAAAAAAAAAAAAAAAAAAAAAAAGGAAACAGAAGACCGGAGATGCACTGCAACTGGTGCTCCAAGGATGCACGCAACGCCCTCATACCGTGGGAGCCCGCCCCACACACCGATGAATTGTGCCCTCATTGAAATGAAAGCGTCGCCTGCACCCGGTACTATCCATCTCTTTACTGCGAATGCGTCCACAGAAAGAAAAAAAAAAAAGGCGACGCCGCAGTGAGCACCGGCGGGCTGTTTCTCCTTTCAAGGCCTCCATCATCACAGGATGATAAAAACAACAGAGAAAAGAATTAAAAAATTGCTTCTCTTTCCTCCTCGTCCTCCCTGTCGTAGCACCCCGCACAGCCGCTGCGATAGCAGACGGTAAAAGCAGTGCGGCTCTTCAATGAATAAGACGCACAGAAACGGCATATGAACACCTCATCCGGCGCCGTTTCCCCCTCCTTCATATTGATGGGCACACACACACAAACACACATATATATATAAATATATATATACCATAAATATTTTTTTCCCACCCCTTTTTCTGATCATCATACTCCTTTTTCACACGATATCTTGCAAATAAATTACACTGCACTTTTTTGCTGTTTTTCCTTAACCACCTTTTTTTTTTTTTTTTTTTGCGTGCGTGTGTGCTTGAATTTGTAAAGAAAAGGGGGGGGGGAAAAAAAAAGAGGGGGGGCGACTGTCCCCTTCACTCTTGGTTTTGTCATTTGCTTCATTTTTTCTTTTTTCGTTCTTTTCCTTTTCTCGACATGTATTCTCTCGCTGGATCCGTGCACGTGTGTTTTTCCCGCCCATTTCATGTCTCTGCCGCCACATAAACAAAAACAAGACAAAAAAAAAATGCAGCCCCCCGCCGCCTCCTCTGTTCCCCTCCCCTCAATATCAGTGCGGCTTATTCCACGCCCAATGAAGAAGGGTACACACCGCACAACGCAAAAGGACTTCAGAAACAACGATGAGGGCGACTAAGGTCGCCTGGATAGACAGCGCAACCCCCCTCTGGCCCCACACATCAGTAAACAAAAAGAAACGGCCAGAATACAAGCAAGCGTTCACCACCAGGCATGCGCACAACCCCCCCCCCCCCCCCCCAAAAAAAAAAAAAAAAAAAATTTATATATCCAAACGCCGTCAATTCCCACTCCGCGTATTATAGGAAGGAAAAACAACAAGAGCGAAATGAAAATGTCAAAAAAGGCATAAAAAACTGCACAGAGAACATCCAACCACATCCCATACCGCCGCTACCACAAAGACTTCCTATTTTAATCTGCAGTGGTACCGCCTTGGGGAGCAGCTGTCGCTGCTTCGTCCTTTCGTTCTCCTTCCTTTATAATTCCGAGTACCTGCGCCATAAAATCCTCATTTTTGGGGCTCTTCTGGTACTTTACGGCCTCTAAAATAGCCGTCTCAAAGAGCCGCACAACATTGGTCCCGTCTGCAGCAGATACGTAATGTAATGTAAGTTTATGCTTTTCTACAAACGCAAAGGCCTTTGACACCACGGATGGATCCGTGTCTATCTTATTACATGCCACAACGCAGGGAATATGTTCCCGGTAATTGCGCATTTCACTAAGCCACTTCTCCAAATTTTTGTACGTTGCCTTCCGCGTCACGTCAAAAACCAAAATGCATGCGTGAGCCTCATGATAATACGCGGGGTGCATCGTTGAAAAGCGTTCTTGCCCTGCCGTATCCCAAATGTCCACATCTACTGCTTCATCATCTTCACTGATAAAGTCGTAGCGGTACAAAGTCAGAGCGTATGTAGACATTTGTACCGGAATGTAGCGCTGCATCAAAAAGCGCTCCACCAGCTTCGATTTCCCAACAGCGCTGTCGCCAAGAAGAATAAGTTTTACAGGCTTCCTGGCCTCATCCGGTTTGTTATCCACTACCTTCTTTATCTTCAGAGGCATATATATGTATGTATATATATATATTAATGTATTTATTTGTCCACACCGGTATGTCTACACAAGACAAACACAATAGCAATTTAGAAAAAAAAAAAAGGAAAAAAAAAAAAGAAAAAACGAGGAACCTCGTCTCCACGCCACGGAATGGCCAGAAACCCTTTTCCTTCTTTTTTTTTTTTTTTTTTTTATTAGTAGTTTCTTTTATGTAAAAAAAGTCAACCCTCTTCGTTTCTACCGTCACACACACACACACTCTCTCTCTCTCTCATAAAAAAAAAAAAAAAAAAAAAAAAAAAAAAGGAGAATGTCATTCAGTGAAAAGAAAAGAAAAACAAGACGAGAAGTAAATCAGAAAAGGGGGAGGGGGGAAAAAGAGACAAAAAAACACTTGTTCAATTTCTCCGCCAGTCAGTCAAAAAGTTCAAA